CCCGTTGCCGGTCCCCGGTCCGGTACGGGGGCGACACTGAGGGTTGCGATCCGTTGCCGGACACGGAAAAAAGACAAAAGACAAAAAAAAAAAAAAAAAAAAAACTTTTCTCAGACAGCTAGGGCATTTTTTTTTTCCCATCTCTGGGAAATAGAAGAAGGCAAATCTCAAATGTTTGTTTACTAGACATCTGAAGCTCTTGGCAGTGACAACTGTGTCATAAGTCAGAGATGTTGACTTGGAATAGCTGAACTTCATGAGTTTCAGCTCCTAAAGAACTGAAAGAAAAAAAAAAGACTACAAACAATGTACTCATCACTTTTGCTGAAAAAAAAACAACCCCCAAATCTCAATGGCTTATGGCCACAAAGGTTTATTTCTTGCCTGTATTGTATGCTCTGGGTCAGCTGAGCTTCTGTTCCATGGGTCTTCTCATTCCAGGGCCCCGGCTGAAGAAGCAGCCCCCATGTGGGACTTGGGAATTCTCATGACAGATGGGAAAATCCAGAGTACTTGTGGAAACTTGTGAAGTCTCTTAAAGCTGCTTCTCCAACGTGTCATGACACATCCACTCAAATCCCATTGGCCAAAGCCTTTCATATGACCAAATCCCAAGACAATGGAGAAGTCTACTGCTTTCATAGGCAAATCACATGACAATGGGCATGGATTATAATCTTCTTGGGGGTGGGGAGGGAAGGGATTGTGTGGTTAATTGTAAAAAATAATGCAATCTGCCACAAATATGGGGGAACCAATTTTCTCAACCCAGAGATATTGGTGTATATCCCCAACCTGTATCACCACCACCACCACCACCACACACATACACACACACACACACACAGTCCCTAGGATTAGTGAGAAAGAAGCTGTGGGGATGGAAATAATAGAACTCCCAGATATGTTAGAAGATCTAAAGACAAGGGCATCTGAGCTCTTTTCCCAGTGAAGATCAGAAAAGCAACTGAGGTCCTAGGGTTTTCCCTCAACAGAGAGCAGCATGTCAGCATGAAAGGTCTGGACATGATGAGCCAGAGGAATGCTTCAAACCTGTTCTTTTTTTTTTTCAGTATTTATGTCATTAAAGGCAATTCAAAGGAGCTGAGACAGGGCGGTGAAGTGTTGAAGAGCCTACAGGTCAGAATGAGGAAAGATGGAACTCAATGCACAGATCAGTGATCCGAAAGCCATTAAAAAGTGGACATCAACTTTTGAGGCCAAAGCCAACAACCAGATACCTCCCCTTGCCACCTCCCTCCCGACCCCACGCTGCCCCCTACAAAAAAAACTTTGAGGCTATCCTCAGAAAGACAAGGGGAAGGGAGATCATTCTGAAGTGATTACATTTTAGCCAGAAATGATTTGGGGGCAGGAGAGATTTGTGGGAAACAAAGTGCCTGTGGAATTGTCTAAATTGTTTTCTCTCTTTAGGAAGAACAGGATATCAACATTGAGACCAATTTCGATTATTTTTTTTAAAAGAAATTTTTTTGTACACTTGAGTTTTATGATCTGATATTGCATAGCCAGTATATTTGTGTGGCAATAGTTGATTGAATAAAGGTATGAATGAATGAGGGATTTCTGTTTCCTCCGTTCTATAATAGAAATTACAGTGCCTGAAAATTGTACTTCACAGGAATGTTGTCTCTTTAGTGTAACTATTATGTGGGAAACTTTCTGAATTTATCAGGAGGAAATTCATATTAAAACAAGGATAATTATTTTTCATTATGCTAGGTCCCATACAGAGAAAATCTACATTTTGTATTAGTTTATTTACCAAGGAGATTGTTCCAACACACTTTTGGTGTCATGGCTTGAGCCTCTAGAGAATCTAAGCCAGAGAACACTCGTCCCTCACCATGGACTAATGCAACTTGTCAGGTCAGATCTCCTCTTGTATGGAAATTTGCATCATCCTTTGAGACGCCACGTATTTTTATTCTCATACCCAGGCCATGACACATAATGTCTTCCAGATCTACTTCTTTCTTTAAATCATCAGAGAAAGCCTCCAAAATGTCTCTCATACTAACTTCTGCTTTTCAACACCATTCTTCCTTTACAATCAGAGCAACACAATACAATAAAAATCTCAAAGCAAGCAAAATAGCCTCTCAGGCATTTTAGTAACATTTTAACATTTCTTTTTTTACCTAAAAATAAAATATGGAGAGATAGCAGAAAGATGGCAATAGCAGTGGCACAATTTTTTAACCTCCTTCAATTGCCCTAATTAAATAGACCAAGTAGGTAGCAAAACCAAAAGCCTGTAGCTAACTACTGTAATATACAAAATATAAGTAGGGGTGGGGACAAACCAATAGCTACAAGATCTCTATAGAATCAGCAGGAGAAAGCAGAGAGAAACAACAGACAGACATGAGAATACCAAAATAGCTGATGGGACTCACTGGTAAGCTTGGAGGGCTGGTTTGAGGAGAGTAGCTGAAACCAAAAGAAGCTTTAAACATTCTTTTTTTTTTAATATAAAAAAGGGTTTTATTCATAGCTTTAGGAAAAGTTCATGCCAAACATGAACTTTATATCTCACTTTAGAAGTTGTGCTGA